GAGCTTATGGATAGCATGTTCTTCATAGTATACAAATAAGCTCTGGACGTTAACTATGCAAGAATAAAGAGTAAACATCTTCAAAAAATGAGGTATCGGATTGATGCAAAAAATATCCGTTTTTAAATCCCTTTTCCGTTACGTTATTACTACACACCATTTTAAAACTTGTTCCTTATCTTTCAAACCCTTTCCTAATAATAATTCATCAACAAGTATTTTAGATCTGTTTAGATAATGCTCCTAAAGCAACAACTGCATGAAAAACCGTAGTGTACACGAGGTTAGATTTTTGAAAAGAAGGAATATAATGAACCGCAGGGAAGAATGCCTCATTATCACGCGTGATATAGGGCAGTATATAAAACTGCTTTTCTGATGTGAGGGGCACATTATACTCCCACGTGATTTCTGTGCGGTTGGTCTCTACGTGACATGCTTAGTGGAAACCTCATAGAAAGCGGTGAATGTGCAATGCTGTGTTCAAAGTGATTGAAATCTTGGTTTGGAGTTTCTTTGTTTGGTTATGGAGGCGTCTGGCCGGGTGAGTTGCTATCAACTTGACCTTTCCAGGCTCTGAAGAAGGCGAAATTCGCCGAAACGTCAGCTTAATCGTGAACAAAGAATAGTAACACCTCGCGTTTGCTCAACAAAAATACGAAGAAGGAATATATTCTAACATTCCCTATTTTGACTTTAAAAAAAAGTTGTGTTCAACAGAATTCTATCACTTTGAAGTTCCCGTTCAAAAGTGCCCACCACTTTTAGAGCAAACTAGTACTGGAGGATAAATTCCACAGTAAAGGTAAAGGATAATTTAACTGACATTAACCTGCGATTATTTTAGCGCCAGCATAAGAACTGAAGACCGTAGAGAAGTGCCGTCGATATCATAGCACGCAGCACATTCAGATTTCTCATTCCAACAGATACGGGCAAATGACAATTTTCCGTGGTGACACGGACAATAACAATCATTCGAACGAACCTCTTTTGCCAAAACTTACAGCAGACCAAACATTACAAGAGAAACAGCACCACCTTACGGCCGGCACTCTCCACAGAAGTCTTAGTTTCAGTTACAAATTTTCATTCTGGCAGAGCTTTTGACAAGATAACACTCTCACCAATTTCCCACGACCACTAATTCTCAGCTTTCACAAAAACCTCTGCATAGGAAGTGTAACAGGGATGAACACCGCGCTCCCCATCGAAATAGTTTACCGTGCTCTACAAGCTTCTTACAGAGACGATTCCGATGCAGATTTCAAGAAATTGGAATGAATTTCAACTTGTAGAACGAGCTGAACTTTAGCTGTATAGCGCACATCCAAAAACTTTAAAATCATACAGACCTGTAAAAATATCACACTCCTTGTTATTCATTGGATAGTGATAAAGGAATGGACAGTATGAAGGGCAAAGGCATCTCGTTTGCCGTAATTGGCCAAAGTTAATGCCTCCTATACAAGCATTGCTGGCTGCGACAATCCATGTAGAAGATGAAGATGAAGCCTTGCAGAGAGATCTCTTTGCAGACAATTATGTACGAAGCAAGAACAAACAACATAATAATAATGTCGTCAAAGTTGTTCACTGATGCACTACATTAGTGCGTGGACTCCCGTGAGTGTCACAAATGAAAAAATGTTGATAGGTAACCACTCTACAACCTTAGTATTGCCTATGACACCGTCATGTTTTCAACAGCATCGCAGGACAGGAGATGATGATTAACTCAAAGAGAAGGAGAAGCGGATTGAACTACATTTCGTCAGACTGGGAAGCACATACTATGAGGAATTCCGGTACCGAGAACAAATTACTTTGCACGAATCATCGAATGACACGTACATATTTTAGGCGTATCTGAAAAAATAATGAATGTGGAAAACGAATGGATTGAACTGAGTAGAAGATGATCAGCAGTGCAGACCGGCTTCGGGCTTTCAGCCCACTGATAAATTTCTTGATCCCAACCTCTGCGCTCAATTATTCGACGCTACACATCTTACACCAGTGTGCTATGCAGCAGAACTATGAGCCGATATTTCCCTATCAAGAAAGTTACGTAAACTGGACGGGTCACTCTTCTCGAAGTGAACAAGTACACTAACAGAAAACACACCACGAACTAACCCACCGTTCAAATGATGAAAACAGAAGTCGACTGTTGGACCAGAAGAACATTAAAGTGGATCCCGAATGCACGCGCATTTTTTCCACAAGTGGAATTACCTCTAACATCTTGAAGCTGCAGCAGAGCACACACTCGAATTTCACCACTTCACAGACTACGGAATGGAAGTGCTACGACCTTAATGGCATATGAAGGGACTAACTATTAACCATGATGAATTTTTGACAACTAACGACAGCTCTTCGATTAATAAATCGAGATTATTTACTTAGAGAAAATAGCTTCTGCAACTGATTACAACCCCCTCAGGGATGCTCCATGCATTCGACATCTCTAAGCATCACTGGAAGTGACTGAAAGCACATCTGGCTTTTACAATGACTCGCGGTGGCCTACCGATGTATCCAATCGGTGCTCCATCCACCCAGACAAGTCTGGTATCAATCTGCCGACCCTAAACGGATGGAAAGCTTGGTGAGCCTTATGTGCGGAAATCTATCGAATGTGTATTGCAGGGCACCTCCGACCACTGCGCAACACGTGCCCTTTATTTTCTTGTTTAGAATGAAAGTTCTAGAAAATTGTAAACTTCTAACGCAAGCATGGCAACCACAATCACGAATGATACACTACGAATACCTTCGTGTCGAACCGCACAAAATCTCGCCTATTCATTTGTTTCTGTTCAAAATACGAACCTCGACGGAAAAAAAGAGAAAGACTGCACCTCTTCGTATCCATAAAACCAAAAAACCATTTTGAAACGCGAACTACTGTTTTGAAACACAAAGTATCCACATGAATGAAAAAAACAGTTTTAAGAAAAATTGTCGACGATAACAGCCACTTCTGATCCGCCAATTTGTAGGTTCCAAATTGGTTACAAAGAGATCGGATCTTTTGATGAATGAAAAAGTGCTCACCTTTGATTCGGTGGAAATAGAAACGCATTACCATTGTACACCTTAGTAAATCGTGTTCGACATCAAAGCGCTCAATATTGAACAATGTTGAATAAGCTGTGAAGTCCCTTGTGCCAGAATCATCCTGGAAATATCTTGTGAAAGGTTAAGATGGGTAGACATGAAAATGAGGACTGACATCCGAAAAATGTACCGTCTCCGCTTTGCCTGCGTCATCCCTCTCTTCTAATCACGATGCCCATCATCTAAGCGAAAATTGAAAGACTTCAATCAAGTAACGGTGGAGGTCAATGTACAGCCACCCACAAATTAACACCGTAACAAGCGTTCACTATGGACAACGAAGTTAACATGACCAACCTTAAGACCATGTCTGACGCGGTGGAACGAGCTTCATGACATTTCGTGTACTAAAAGAATGTCAGAAGTAACTCGTAATTCGTTTCAACTTGCACGATCTTTCCATCATCCCATCCTTCCTGGATTAGCAAATTGGTACCAGACTTGTCGAGGAGAATAGTAGCACTAGCTCGATACATTGGTAGGTCACCGTGAGTCATTGTAAGGGCCAAATATGCATTCAGTCACCTCCAAAGGATGCTGAATGAACTCGAACGCATAGCGCATCCCTCAAGGATTGATCAACGCCGAGAGTTTTAGGTTTTTATCAAGTCAAAGCCAAACGTTCGAAGATTACTCCTGCCTCCGACGACGCTTGTGAATTAAAGATCAAGTCGACTACGAGACAGAACAATACGTTGAAATATCAACTGTACCCAAATCAACATTTTAGATTTATACCTCATGAGAAAATCGTCACGATTCTTCCATGTATGACATCTGTAGGAGAATGAAGCAAGAGAGCTGCCTGTCTCGTAATATCCAGTGGATAGAGACCATCCAACCCGAAATGTCTAATAATTCCAAAGAAACATTGTAAAGGAACTCGAATATAAACAACAGATTGAGCTTTTCTATTTAAATACTACACATACTTGAAAACGACACTTGGCAAGGAGGGAGCAGATACTTCAAAACACAAGATCACCACCATCAAACAGCGCAAAATAACGAATGAAAGTGCAAAACCACACCATGGAAAAAAGTGTTTTGAACTTTGGCTAGTCAACTATGAAATAATCAGAATGAAAAAATCTTTTCGCACCTGAGTACGAAGACAGAAATCGAGTAGGTTGCTCCACTCCCCAAAAAACTCCGCAAGGAAGCACACGCAATCTACCACTATTTCCAAAGAATTTAAGGAAAATGTAGCTAACTGCTCACTCAAATAAGGATAAAGGATAATGCTCTCGGCGTCCATCAATCCCAGATGGATGCGCCATGTATTCGACTTCACTAGGCACTGTTTGGAGGTGATGGAACGCACAACTAGCCTCTACAATAACTCGCGGTGACCTACCGATGCATTGAACCAGTGCTCCTATCGTCCGAGACAACGCTGGTACCAATTTGCCGACTCCACGGGAATGGAGGGCTTGGTGGGCCATGGGCGCCGGGATCGATGCCATATTCACTGCAGCGCGCCTGCCTCCGACCACTGCGCCAAACGCGCCGCTCCTACTGCTCACTTATAAACCAAAATTCCTTCAAGAGGAACGAAGTCTCGGATAGAAACAAGCCTCAGTTGTACGCTGATGTTTCTTTTGGACCTTAAAAAGTCTCTTATGCCGCTTAATCCTGCAGTGAAAAGAATGTTCAGCCAGAAAACAAAAATGATTGAATATTGGTAGGTGCAGTAAAGTAGGAACAGAACAGAAGAGTACTCCAAAAAAAAACAAGATCTGAAAAATCGGTAAGAGACAACTGAACGTAATCAATTGCCGTACAAACAAAGTCGTATACGAAGAAATTTATTAAGCAATTAGTAAGGAAGAAAAGAAAACGATTAAGAAAGAAAAACAGGTCAACAACGACCACTAATCCTTGTCAGATTCAAGATTAATGCGATCACCGAACTTAGCATAAAGTATTCGTTTCAGATTCTCCATCTCTTCCTGGGAAGATAAATTTTTGTCCTAAAAATGAAGCGTAAGAGTGGAAGTATTGCTACTGCTATAAATAAAACATGCCTATAACCATTATAATAATAAATACGTGAAAAAAAACAGTAGAAAATGATAATTAAAAAGCAAAGTCTTCACCTTTTTATTTTACTGCCTACTGTTTTTAACAGCAGGGTATGTTGAGAAATATAACTTCTATAATGCTGAGATATTTGCAAAAGTCCGGACAGCAGATGTTTGAGGTGGGGAACGAACGCGCTATTATCCTTTCCGGGGAGTACAGCGTTCACCGCCACACCATGCGGCTCCTTCGTTTCGCCTGTCACTCAGCTAGTTCTATCGATCTTCATGCCATCAGCAGATTGTGATTATGACTAAAGCCTCAGCTTAAGTGGGTTCAATGCCGATTTGAGCAACCGAGATCAATCCCGTTGACGGGTGATTCCTGATGGTCTGATCGCTAGAACTAGCTGAGAGACAGGCGAAACGAAGGACCCGAATGGTGTGGTAGTGAACCCGTTACTCACCGGAAAGGACAATAGCGCGTTCGTTCTCCACCGCAAACAACTGCAGTCCAGAGTTTTGCAAATGTCTCAGCATCATTACGGTTGTAGAAACAAAACGTTTAGCATAAAACAAACTGCCAATAAAAACGCTCCTTACACAATCTATTGAATTCACTACGCACCTATTCATAAGACGACGACAGAAGTAGCGGAAAGTACTCACCGTGAGTTTCCTAATCGTATGCTCTGCATCTATTCTCAAATCCTCAAGTTTACTCGCCAAAGTGTCCTGAAAATAAACAAGGAATATAAAAAATTTACGGTATAAAACCCTTCTTATACGAGAGATCTTGAGGCAATGAGTGTTACTAAATGAGGAATAGAAAACAACCTAAATCGACCGCGTCCCGTTATACAAGGCTGGGTTTCCTATCCCTGCTCCGATGGGTTGATCTATTCATATTCACAAATACATGCGAGTGTGGGACTGTGCGCATACGGATTGTATTTGTTGGAATAAGATTTACTAAATCTAGAAACAAAGAAGTCAAATTTCGTGGCTGTGTAAAGTGATGAAGGCGGATAGGCGAGCTTTCCCTTGTGCTGGAGTGATGTAAGGCAGGAGTAAGATCCCCATCTGTCTCCGTAGCGCATAAGAGCCAACATTGATTAGTTTTCTGGAAATTCCAATTTGAAAACCAAGAAGACCCGTGGCTATGATTAGGAGGCAAAACACTGGATATAAATTTGGTTTACATATGATGCGAAACGTTTAGGAGTTTCTATCCTGAAGCCTAGTTAATAAGTCAATAGTATATCCGCGTCATTTTAGAGCCCGCCGAGCTATCCGTGGCTCGCTTTCTGCCACAGCAGTATAGAAGGGATATAATATGAAAAGTTTGATGCTCACCACTCTCCTTGAGGAATCGCAGAGTTTTAAGCAGCTGTGGTACGCAGCAAGGACCAATAAAGCATGGTGATAACCATGGACCTACTCTAATGCGATTAAACATACATGAAGCATGGTGTTAACATATATATGAACGTCTCTTTCACCTTCGAAATATCCACATCTCGTAGCACTGATACAGCAGAAATTCACAGGTTGCCAAAGAAAGCACTTCTACCAAAACTCGATTTCGCTAAGCAAAAATAGTTTGGAAAACCTATTGTGGCTGCCTATGCTACTCCATGGGCGCGTGCGGCGCAGTAGTCGGAGGCGCTCTGCAATTCACATGGGATCGATACCGGCTTCAGGTTCACCAAGCCCTCCATCCCTCCGGGGTCGGAAAATTGGTACCAGACCTGTCTGGAAGGATAGTAGCACCGCTCGATACATCGGTAGATCACCTTGATTCATTGTAAAGACCACATATGCACTGAGTTACCTCCAACGATACTCAATGAAGTCGAATGCATGGTGCATCCCTCAGAGATTGATCAACGCCGAGAGCTTCATCCTTTGCCATTATCCTTTATGTTGCCCCAAAAACTTCTAACACTCTTACACTACTCATTTCTACTTATGACATAACTTTCAGTTTCACCAGCGCACTTCTCTAAATGGAACGTGGAATGTCAAACAACTTACTGTAAGCAACAAACTTCATGGTTAAGTAAAACTTAACCTAACTGGTCCTCCGAGATCATCTAATCATCACTGGTATTTGCACAGCGAAAAAAGTTACAAAGTGATTTCTTTTTTGCGCGTACAATTTACCTCAAGCTCGTGCAATTCTTTAGAGCAGCCGCAAAGTAAGCTTTACCGCAGGAAATCACAAATGCTTTAGCTTTTAAACAAACTTAACCAAAAAATTGTATTTATAGACTCTAGAAACCATTCATACACAGGTTATAAATCTATAGATCAACACTTAGGTATGAAAAGGAATTCCAAACTCAAGTGCCATTATTTAGAATGGGCAGCTATTCTTATTAACGAATTATTTAGAAGGTAGTAAAGGACACTAAATGCGTTGTGAGGTCACAACCGGAACACGGTGGACGAAATCGCGTTTGTCGCCTGAAATCGCCCTTTCATCAAACATTAAGTTTAATAATCAAAAACCAATGGTGTTAGATTGCAGTGTGTTCACAAACCCCAAATGTATAGCTATGCAGTCAATGATCTACCCACGAGGGTATAGTAAATAAGCCTAATCTGATTAAATTTACCACTATATTAAACACTCACACTATCAAAATGCACAAAGGTTTGACCAATCCGAAATGGAATAGATTCACTATCTTCAGGACTCAACAACATTAACTCGTCGGCAGCTTCATTGATGTTCAACAAGTCATTTGAAAGATCCTTAATATCTTCCTGGAAGAGTATCGAAATTAACGATCAGTCTTTATAAATACTTTTAACAAAAAAAATCTTAAAAGTGTCATTTCTCAAATGATCGAGAAAAGGAAAGCCTTGGATGCTTTCTTAGCACCGAGATGAGAGGGAATCCCGAAAAGAGAAAGAAAATCTGGACATCGATGAACATCGATAATTTAGAAAAACACATAATCCTGCTAACTTTTATGTGATGACTTCACCCAAGATTTCACGAAAAACCATTCTCAGAGAGATAATGACAGCTCTCGTAGTACTAAAACTTAATATGTGAGCATAAGACACCTATGAATGTACTGCTGATTCAAGGAAGAATCGATGTCATCAAGAAGTTCCACTCTATTAAAGCAGTATAATTTTACATCAAAATTGTAATTGTTTTACATTCACTGGATGCTGCATCCTTCAGCGATGAGCAATCACGGACAAAAGGTGAAAACGGATATAAGAAAGCGATTCCACGCCTTTCGCGACGAAGCTGGTTCTTCGATAACCGGCAGTTATTTCTCGAGAATGAGAGCATTTCGGGAGTTCAAAACACTGCAAGCTTATAGAAAATACTTTCGTCTATCCTCGAACTTATTGATTTCGATGCAGCGTCCTTTCAAAGTTAAACGTTTAGAATTACACTCAAAGAAGTTGACAGTCAGATTCAGGTCCTCAAAATTTCCAGAGAAACAACGGCAGCTGCAAACATAGATGATATACTGGACAATAATATTCTGTCATGCTCGACGATATCCCGCTGGCCCAAACGCTCTTGTGTTGGAAATATGAGTGCCGAAGCAATAAAGTGGGAGAGGTGTATGTCACAGGGTCCAGAAACCAGAATTTCACTGTGATAAAAAAAGAAGACTTTTTTTCGCAGAAAAAGATTTGCGGATTTCATGAATTTCTATTGTAACTTATAAAATTCACTATGAGCTGGGATATATAGATTTAAAATTAAAAGTCGCCATTGCTCCAGCATCGCATGAGTCCTATAGGTAGTAAAAGCTATGCCAAAAGTGTATTCATAAAGCAACTGTAGTTGGAATTACAGCAACAGTTCCTCTGACGAATGTTCCTACTAGCAGCTGATATAGTACCAACACTATTTTCTTTCAACCTCAACAGGGTTAACAAGAACTTAAAAAGGGTTCGAAAGGGGTTTGAAAGTTGTTAGCATTTTCTCTGAGCGGAATACCTATTACTTTTTTTTTAACAATCAGTCTTACATGACATAAACTGCCTACTTAAGCACTCGAGAATATCAAACCTTTATGGAAAAAAACTGGGAGAATTAAAGAACCAAGGGCTGGTGTGAAAGGATGAACTATTTCTGCCAGGTACTCGAAACCCACCAAAAAAGTGGAATAGGTCTAAGTTAAAATTTTTCATAAAGTTTGATTAAAAATGACAAATCCTGCCTAGCAACTATCGTGTATTAATGCTGAAAAGCACAAGAAAAAAGAGAAGGAAGCCAACAATAGTGTAAACCATCTCACCTTCACCTGCATGAAATTTTGATGAAGGCGAGCGAACTTATTGATAAGCTGCTGATCTGCGCTAGTGACCGCTGGCACTGCCATGCTTTTTAAAGCACTGGAATAAAAATCGGCACAAAAATCTTAGTGACACGCCATTCAGTATGTAAAGTGACAGTTTACGACAATTCAATATTCGTCTTGTTCAGAGCCTGGAAAGGTCAAGAACAGTTCCACAACAGCCAAATGTTCACGTCTTGTAGTAAATACCATGACCGACCTTCTGTTACCTCGGTATTGGTCGAACAAATTTCTACATTCTTGTTTAGCAAACAGGATGTGTTATTTTACTTCCTTAGTCACGATCAAGCTGACGTTTTGGTGGATTTCGCCTTCCTCAGACCCTGGGTCACGATGACCGCAATCTACCCAACCAAACACCTCCATAACCAAACATAGATGGCTCTTGGTTGGCTAGATTGCAATCAGCCGAAACGTCAGCTTGTTCGTAAATAAAGAAGTAAAATAACACCTCGCGTTTACTCAACAAGAATATAAAGAACATGCCGATATTTCGCAAAGCATTCATAACCACTTCGTCTGAACGACAGACATAAGCTGAGAAATTGGCTAAGCATATTCGAACTTACGGAGATGTTTAAGAAAAGGAGCCTAAAAGAAAGTGGTGAATGGAGGGATATCTGGGCGGGCGCCGCGAACGGACGGCGCCGAGCACCCGCCACTCTGTCACCCTGTCTGCGCTCTCCACACATGGGTGCTCGACCATGAGACGTTGCGCTGACCACATTGAGTGGTTGTTAACAGTTCTCTTTCAAGCAATCGCCTAAAATTAGTTTACACAAAGGTAAAACAGAGTTAAGGTGTAAGGACCATAACCACAGATATGACGGCGATCACTACGTTCGTTAGTCGACCAATGGAGAACACTCTGCTTTACTATGTTTAACGTTTTGTTTTCTGCCTTCTATAATTTTCATGGCAGGTTACTAAGCGAAATACAACCACAACGTTGCTGAGATATTTGCGAAACTCTGGACCGCAGGTGTCTATGGTGGGGAACGAACGCACAGAAATCAGAGCACAGATTGCTGTGGCAAAAAGATCAATAGAAATAGCTGAGAGACAGGCGAAACGAAGGACCCGCATGGTGTGGTGGNGCCTTCTATAATTTTCATGGCAGGTTACTAAGCGAAATACAACCACAACGTTGCTGAGATATTTGCGAAACTCTGGACCGCAGGTGTCTATGGTGGGGAACGAACGCCCCATTGTCCTTTCCGGGGAGTAACGCGTTCACCACCACACCATGCGGGTCCTTCGTTTCGCCTGTCTCTCAGCTATTTCTATTGATCTTTTTGCCACAGCAATCTGTGCTCTGATTTCTGTGCGTTCGTTCCCCACCATAGACACCTGCTGTCCAGAGTTTTGCAAATATCTCAGCAACGTTGTGGTTGTAATTCGCTTAGTAACCTGCCATGAAAATTATAGAAGGCGGAAAACAAAACGTTAAACATTGTGATTTCAACTACAGCCATAGCTTAACTGGGTTCTATGCCGATTTGCGCTCCCCAGATCAACCCCGCTGACGGGTGATTGCTGTGGCAAAAAGATCGATAGAAATAGCTGAGACAAGCGAAACGAAGGACCCGCATGGTGTGGTGGTGAACGCGTTACTTCCCGGAAAGGACAATAGCGCGTTCGTTCCCCACCATAAACTCTGCTTTACTGTTTCTTTACTACGCTAAACTCCGAACGTCTTCGCTGTGTGAATTTCAAACACGAATAACTAAACCGTGCCCAATAAGTCAATCGAAATAAATCAGTCGGCAAGTGCAAAGAGTTTTCATATGTATTGACACAAGCAACTAAAGGGACAGTAAAAACCTCCTAAATACATTGATGTAGATGCATTCTAGTCATATCTTGTTTAGTAATACGCAAGAACTAAGGAATAGAAGCAGAGAATAGCTATAAACATAAAGCATAAAGCTCTCTGCGTTGATCAATCCCTGAGGGATGCGCCATGCATCCGACTTCATTACGCATCTGGAGAGGATTGAATGCATATCTGGCCCTTACAATGACCCGCGGTGGCCTACCGATATATCGAGCCAGTGCTGCTATTCTCCCAGACAAGTATGGTACCAAGGTAAACACTACTATTCTGTTATAATGAGCACGATAACAGAAACCCTTTTGTGCCCTATTAGTAGTAATTACTCTCTTACATTCTTGAACGACCCGTCCCACATATCGTGCGGTCACAGCACCTCAATTTCTTCCGTTGACTTACATTCAGCTACAACTTGAAGACAGCAGTCAATCAGCACGCTTCCTTTCTGAATAGTCGCTGAAGGTGTAGTCCAAGAGTGGCGACGAGGAGCATGCGTGTTCGATATCGTCTCCGTAATGAGCCATCATGTATGGATCAAGTCCACCTTCGTAGACCCACGGCAGTATTCCTTCGCATGTTCTACAAAACTCAACGCCTTTTTAAACTGCGCTCATTTTCATAGTTCTAACATCAGCTAATTATTTTCGTGCTTCTGAACACCAGAACTCCTCTATCCGCTTTTAATTCACAAAATATCCACAGAAACATATGGTCCAGAATTGGTCAAATTTGCAGCCTGTGGCCACTTCAATAACTTACATTCCCAGTAATTAGCCTGTGGTTCACCAGTTTCGCAAAATCTTTGTGCCAGATGTTTCTGGAAGAACGGAAACACTAAACTGATACATCTGTAGGCTACAGCAAGGCGTTATGTAGGTCAAATATGACTTCATATTCCTTCACGATGTTTAGTGGAGTGGAATCTCTGGCACTGCACTACTGGGAAATAGATCACGGACGAGCGATTTATCGTTCATGTACGCAAAAATTAATGTAAGCAGGGGTGTGGACTTGTTTGGATTCATGCCGACTGGTGCATATCACTGTGGCCAAGAGGCTGAAAAGGTGATTGGGAAACATGAGTTCAACGAGATTTCCGACCATCGTTTCGTCAAAATTTGTTTCTTCGTGGTAAAAAGAGAAGGCCGCAAAATTCAAGGGGCAAAATTTCGGAAGATTCAAAAGTTGGAACCCGTTCACACATTTAGCACGATCGTTATCGGCAGCATTGATAGAAGGTTAAGCGATTCGGTATCCATTAGGTGCCGGCCAGTCATTCAACTCGATTAAGCATCATAGTAGCAGTTGAATGAGCATTCGGTTTATACGATAAGTGTGGTAACCCAGCTATACATGAAGCTAGTGGTTTTGTCTTACCAGGCAATTGCGGTTACAATTTGCATACCCTATATAGGTCGGAAGTTAACTTAGCCGTGGAAATGAGGGTGTGGACGAGATCTAACTAGAGAGCATGTACGTCACATGTCACGGTCTAACCAGTACTCGTGAACGCGTCTCCGAAAAATCAGTTTTGGTTCTCATGCGTTAGCATCACAGTTATTTGTTATAGTCTGTCTTGATTGCTATTCATTCATCTTGGAAACTTATGAGCTATCTCTTCGTTTGCCACATTCCCAACAGGCAATGTTGAAGAGCACTACGCAGTCAGGGGAACGGGTGCGTTTTCATAATGGGATTGATAGGAATACACATACGGAATTCGATACCAATTGCGGCGGTGAATTGGCATTCTAATTTTGCCATCCCCGGCACAATTATACCCAAATGTTATATTTCTGTGTGAAAGTTGTCTTCCATGAATTCAATCCGAACGACTGATTAGGAATAATTCCGCGACTTAAAGGATAGAAGCGATACAACTCTCGGCGTTGATCAACCCATTAGGGATGCGCCGTGCATTCGACTTTAGTAAGAATTGTTTGGAGGTGATTGAATGGACATCTGACCTTTACAATGACTCGCGGTGGCCTATCGAAGTATCGAGCCAATGCTGCTATCCTCGCAGAGAAGTCTGGTAACCTCGGAGGGATAGGCGAGGAGAGGGCTTGGCGGGCCAGGATCGCGGGAATTGATCTCATGTGTATTGCAGGGCGCCTCCGACCACTGCACAACACGCGCCCTTTTTCCTCGTTTAGGATAAAAATCTTAAAAAGTTGAAAACTTCTAACGTAAGCGCGGCAAGCGAAATCGCCAATGATACACTACGAATACCTCCGTGCTAACCGTACAAAATCTGTTCTGTTCATTTGTTTCTTGCCCAAACCTCCCTCCGAGCACTGCGCCACACGCACCCTTATTCCGCAAGTTAAACACAAAATTGTGCACCTCTTACAGCGTCCTTCTACTTTTTCTTTACAAATCATAGGGTGAAGCTATTAAGAAATCCAATCCTTTTGCGATCACGGCCGTCGATTTCAATATGTACGCTGGCGGACTCTACAGACTGTACATATTGAATTCGATACACAAGCTTTCTGCTGATTTCTTTTGGAGTACAGAGCTGTATAGTAGGTCGTAGCCATCGTATAAGGAGCGAGGTACAAATAACACTCAGACGGACAAGCTGCGAAACACTGCAAAATGCCGACAGTAATGTGTTTGTATGACGGAAATATCATTCATACCCATGAAGTGGTAGAGAAAATCCTTCTTGTTCCGCAAGTCTGTTATGTATACAACCCCTGATTCCTTTTCCTTGGATAACTGAATACTTGGACGACCACCTCACTGGTTGTACGGACCCCGGCATAATCTCCATTTTTCAGAGTTTTGCTGGTTTGGCCATTGTGGTTCCCTGGAAACTCGCGGTCAGCCTGGCCAAAGTTATTCCCACGTCGTCACCACCACAGGCAGTCGCCGCCCTTGTGAATGAGAGGAAAATTTGCCACCATGCGACTAGTTTGATACCAGGACGGTGGTGGATCCTGGTATTGGTTTACTCTTAGCTGCGCTTTCTAGTGGAACGCTAGACCCTTTCTCAGCTTGCGAGTCCCTTCCAAGCTATGGGCATGAATCCTCCAGTGTACATCGCAGCCCGACACCCACGAACACCTCTCATGCACGATGAGGGAGGCGGTGAACGGTTGGGAGGCATTCCTTTTAACCACTAGGAATTACTGCTTATTAAATGCATTGTTTTCTTTCTCAGCAATTGCAAGGTTATTATAAAGTATACGTTTACTTCCGCACAGAATGAACACATACAACACAGCAGTAGCTGACGTTTCGGCAGTATGGCCTTCTTCAGAGCCGTTTTTCATGGGATGGCAAGTAAGAAACGGCTCTGAAGAAAGCGATACTGTCGAAACGTCAGTTACTGTTGTGTTGTATGTGTTCTTGCTGTACGGAAGTAAAGGTATACTATAAAACAACCTCGCGATCATTTAAAACCTAATGTCGAGGTTAAAAGGAAGTCGATCCTGAGAACCGCTACTATTGCCGAAAAGGTGGTAGGTCCGTGATAGCGGAAAATTAAGCGCCACGAAAGGGTTCATTCACTGGGATGCACAGGCTGCCTGAGAGACTGTCGAACTACCGACAGTTGACGGCCAGCCAAATCCACTACCCAAAGAACTGCCGTCTACTCTTGTTATGATGAATTTTTTATTCATCTGGTCCCGTATAAATGCCGTCGTCAAGCGAAACACCGTCCACATTCATTAATTCGTTATCGATCGTTCCATATTTCACAAGGTCCGTGGGGCATACCGTTCCTTTCTCTTCGTTACTCACATCCAAGAGTACTGTTTTATTGGTTACGCCTTCATTAATTCAATAATCTTGTCATTCACATAACACATTCCCCACCCATTATACCTGTATAAAAAGTCCACATCTATCTTAAAATTAAGTCCAAGCTGAAATTATGTCGTAACTGACTCCGATGGTCGATCGATCATCGATCAATAACGCGTCGGTGACGATTTCCAGAATGTGCTTTGCTTGTTCAAATACACATAGTGGATAAATATGAAACCCATTTAAATTTGCCATAGTTCTGTCCTACCAAAAAAAAGAAAAAAGAAAAAATGGACATAATCGATAATAGTAATTACGAGTCATTATTATGTAAGTCTTCTTAACGGTTTACCGCATCATCGTAGACGGGAGGTGCCCTGCCCGTACAGAGGGATTCATCCCCCGGCAGAGTCTGCCAAGTCGAGAAGGAGTCCCGCGTTTCCATCATGAAGCCCAGCTAGGACTAAACTAATGCCAGGATCCGTCACCGTCATGGTATCAAACTTGTCGCATAGTTGCAAATCTCCCTCTGATCCACAAGGACAGCGACCATTTGTGGTGGTAACGACCTGGAGCAGACTATGGCCTGACTGACCTCGGGACTCCAGGGAATCACAATGGCTAAGCCAAAAAAAACTCCGAGAAATTGGAGATTATGCTGGAGTCCGCACAACCATTTACGACGGGCCATCCAAATATCCAAGTAGGTAAGTACGTAAAAGTGCGTTTGTTTGCGAACAAGCAAAGTCTTCTTAGATGCCGTTGACCTCGTAGCTCGCACTTTACCGTCTTATTCTTCCATTCTGCGGATTTCACTCACTTTTCTTAATGAGAACACTGCTTTAGAGTGGAACGTCAAGAAGTGAAGATGTCGAGAAGGACGTTCATCCCACTATGGCGTCCACACCATCAAATACCGTACGTACTGCGCAGAGGTTCGAAACGCAGCTTTCGTGGGCGTCCTGATCCCGTTCGTTGTAAATCATACATAAACAAGGACTTGGGTAAACACCTCGCAAATCCACATTTACGAGTTTGCTTCATTCGCTTGTATTAATCATATGTTAAGGTAATGGACGGGTGGATGACAGAGACGTTCAGTGGTACGCGGACCACTTCCAAAACACAGAAGTAGCACAAATCCCTCGTGGAAAAGTAGCGCAGCGTGTTGGTTTGTTCAATAATGCTAAAAATTCTCATGTCGTTGTTAACGATGTCTCCTCGGCAGTTAGAAAAACGGTAAACTTACTGGTGGCTCTTACTACTTTGCTATAAGATTTGTTTCTTCGCTCCTATTTTCAGTCAAGCAAACAAATCGGGCGACTTGTTGCTCCGGAACAATTTGAAAAACATCCAGAAACTGCTTGTACTGCTGAATCACCTGCTTCGGTACAGGGTGGCAGGAGGTGCATCTTACAGCCATTTGTTTTCTAACAGTTGTTTTGAAATTCATGGCTTTTTTTTGATGAAATGTGATTTCTAGTCATCAGTTCGTTGGTGATAAAGGTGTGGCCAATCAGAAATATTTAGAAAGACAAGAAGTTTTCCCGTATACGTCCAGTGATGGTTCTGAGAGAGGTGCGCTTTCTCTGCGTTATTTCTACTTTATGCTTACGATTTATTGTTTTTTAAATGTATTTATTGCGTCGCTAACTGTATGTCCTTTATAACTTATAACATCCGACCGGAATTTACCAGTTTTCTAAAGGTGGTCGTCCACTTCATCTTCTCACCAATGGGGTTGCTTGCACATCATCTGAACCCGTTGTGGATCGACCAGTTCGTCCTACCTATAAGTCGAGGTATCTAGTACCTTCTTACTCACTTCGTATCTTACCTAAGTGTGTATCTTTTAATGACTGTTCATTAAAAATCCCAGGTTTGTTATGGGGTTAAACCACTTTTCAAACTCCTTTTTTCCATTATTCCAATCAATCGCCCTGACGGATGATTGCTGATAGTAGAGATAGGTAGAAAACTAGTTGAGAGGAACGCAAAGCAAGGGCTTCGTGGTGCAGTGTGTAGTACGCGAGCCTCCGGAAAGGGTAATCACGGTTTCGAATCTGGCTCAGGGTCCAAGTTGCGAATATCTCAGCATCGTTGTTGTATCTCAGATCATACCCTGCCGTGGAAAATTATAGTAGGCAGAAAATAAAAGGGTAACATCATATTTCTCCATTGTTGTTTTAGTGAGAGTACGACAACGGATGATTCTGGCCAATATGATTTCTCATCTAACAGTACAAGCATGGAGCCGTTCCGTAAAGTATTTTAATGAGATCTAATCAGCTTTACATGTTAATGCTATGTAGTTTTGTCAAAATCACAGTGTTGTAGGTTTTTCTTTCAGCGATTTTGTAGTTCGGTTAGCGATCTGGCAATGAGACAGCACGAAAGAATGTGTACTCCTCCTAATCATTGTGCGAGCTACCCTGTTCCTTGGTAAGTTGTTTAATGCGATCCTTAGTGGCTTATTTTCTTGATTCTGTCTGTGAGTGCTTTTTTAAGCAAAACACGGAATGAGTTTACCTTATCTGGCGTAGCCACACGCATCCTATCAGCCCTTCCACCTATATATTTGCGAGACGATCACCACGAAAGGTATGATGCTGTGGCAGTTCGACTTCTCAGCGAAAGCTTAAAACGAGGCCAATTGATTCCCGGATCGTCATCTCATGTAATTCGTTACTTTTTCTATCTTCTCATACTACTACTTGTGTATACTTAGTATTGCCATTACTAATCTATTATTCAAGATTTTTCGTTCATTTCTGGACTGTACTGGTGGTATTTCTGCCGTAGGAAACCCGATTTGGGAAAACGATAACGCATGTGAAAATATTTTCCAGAACGAGTAGGTGCTGCATTCCCTTCATTATGTAGTTCCTTAGCACTCAGTATTTATTTCAGTTTGTTTGAAAATGAAGATACGTCAGAGGCACAGCCGGTTACACCTGAACTCGAAAGATTATTCAATCGTACGGTGACAGAAACGAATGCAGACGGGCATTTTGAGCTGTCTATGTATATGAAAAGTCTTAAATATGGGGTAAGCATATGTGGCAGATTTAGCTCGTGTAGACTTGACATGTATATTCTGCATAGGTATCGTCCTTGATGACTCCATCATCTGTTGATTCTCCTCCATTCCATTCGTTACCACCATCTTCCGACAATAATCATGAGCTTGTGGTGAATCATAATCCTTTCTTCCGTTCCGAATGTGATCTCGAACGAAGTTAGTTTTGTTTCCAGTGAAATTTACCTAATACAGATCATTTATAAAAAATTGAAAAGACTATTTCAGTCAATAAGAACTATATCTTTTTTGTAGGATGGCTTAAGGTATAAATAAATGTAGTGGTTTAATATATCCTGCCTATTGTTAACAGTCAATGCTAGTTCTCGGGCTTGATCATTCCCTGAGGGATACGCCATGCATTTGACTTCATTAAACATCGTTGGAGGTAAATGAATGCATATCAGGGTTTTACAATGACTTGCGGTGGCCTACCGATGTATCGAGCCAGTGCTGCTATCCTTCCAGACAAGTCTGGTAACAGTTTGCCGACCCAGGAGGGATGAAAGGCTTGGTAAGCCACGGGCGCAGGGATCGATCTCATGTCAGTATTGCAGGGTGCCGCCGACCACTGCGCTGCACGCGCCACTGTACGTAAATATACGTGTTTTAATCTACTTAGCAATGTTACAGAAAATGTGTATAATTTCACTGTTGATAATTCTACTATAACTGTCTTCCAGGTTTTCAAGTTCATACCTTTTTAAGGTCCATCGTCGTCTGAAAGCTCATCCAACAGTGAAGGGTGTGTGGAAGCCAGCACGCCTCACTTTGAATGGACGCTACCGCATGTGGCTGGAGGTGTGTACGATATAATCAATGGTGCAGCTAGCAAAACAACAAATCCTTTATTGTCGCCAAGTGATTCAAGAAATTTATTTACATCTAAGAAGAATATCTAGTTAAAGGGCGGCATCTTCATCACTTATTCATCTTAGATACAAGGTATGTTAGTCTAAGGGAGAACCAAAGGCGAAGAATTCATGTAAATGTGTTTACGTAAATTCAGCAAGATTCTTGTTACATTGGTTATATCACTGTTCAAGAGTATTGTCCATTTCTTGTAAATTTTCAAACCTGTGTGTATACAGTGTTGAGATTGCTTAAAGAATAGAGCACAGAGAAGTAGCTTATACCAAATGAATGCAGGTACTAAAGGCAGGGTTGATTATATACCTCCTGATTATCTTGTGACCTGGGATTAATGTCACTTAATTTGTAGAGATGTTTGGTTCTGTGTGAGGCTCCGGCAGAAACCTTTAGTCTTTACCAGTTCAGTGTGCATTCCTAGAAAAGACATGATTAAAGCATATAATTCCGCATAATAGCATAGTTAATAGCATATAATTCCGTATAATGGCATAGTTAAGTGGTAAATTCGCATATTCCTAAAATATCGAAAGCACTCATATAGTATATATTGCGGCGTTATGACGAATATTCATTCAAGAAGTAACGTTAACCCTTTCACGAACGTGCGCATCGATTTCAGTACGTTCGCAGCTGTGCGTTTCGGACCACACATTTTAATTTCAATACACCTCTCAAGTACTCTTCAATGACACGTAGTCCGACGAGCTCGGTACGCTGTTGTGGAAGGGTTACTCGAGTGATGTAGAATGCAGTCCTGGCAAAGTCCCACGGTCTTATGTGATTTACGTAAACTAGCGAAGACAAAATGGATAAAACAGTTGAAAAAAAACTAATAAGAAGGTGTGATGTAGAGAAAATAGGCAAACAGTGATTCGAAAATAGGCTTCGTTGTGGTCTTTGGTGTGCTCCCCTGTGTAATGCTTTTTCTTTTTTCTACGTATGATGTGGACTCAATAGTGGACAAAGCCTAGTTATGTAGGTGTTATTCACATATCACAATCACTACTATGCCATAATTTGTCTTCTGAATAGTAAGTAATATCTCCGTTGAAGTACCTCTCAATGGTTTACCACCTAATCGTAGCTAGGAGCTGTTCCTGAGTGTTGGGCTGCGATGTACGATGGGGGGATTCATCCTCCGGAAGGTTCTCTTAAGCTGAGAAGGAGTCAAAGTCAAGCGTTTCAATCACGAAGCCCATCTAAGAGTGAACCAATACCAGAATCCGCCACCGTCCTGTTATCAAACTAGTCGCATGGTGGCAAATCTCCCTCTGATCAACGAGGGCTGCGACTGACTATGGTGATGACGACCTAGGGCGGACTTTGGCCACGCTGTCCTTAGGGCTCCAGGGAACCACAATGGACCATCAAATCTCCAAAAAAGTGGAAATTATGCTGGGGAAGGCACAATCAGTGAAGACGGGCCATCCAATTATCTACTTTGAAACACGAGCTAAACGAAGAGAAATTTCGTATCAATCCTGTTCGGAATAGAAATTGCTGCAATTATTTCGCTTAAGTTGGAGTTGATTTGTAAAGCGAAAGCCATCTCCATCTTAGGACGCTGTTAAAACTACTCGTTGATTAGGCAATCGTTTTGTCTCAGACTTGCTTGTTGATAGCACTCATACCTTTTTCAAACACCTTCTCTCTTTGAACCACCACTACGTAGTCAGCATTCACGATAGTGGAAAGGCGATGAGCCACAACAATGCAGGTTCTTCCTCCTGATGCTTTGTCAACTGCTTCTTGCACAAACTGGAAAGGGGAGCATGTGCTAGTCTTCATGAGAGTGATAGTTCAAGTTGTGCTTTCGAACTTTCGCTTTCCGTGTCAAGAGCACTGGTCGCTTTGTCTAGCAATAAAATCTTTGGATTTTTGATTAGTGCTCTTGCGATAGCTGTGCGCTGTTTCTGGCCACCGGATAGCTGTGTCCCCTTTTCTCCAGCTCGCGTATTGTAACCCTTAATGACTAACAATGAGATGATTCATTTAGTGAAAGAACCAAACAACGTGAATTTTTGGCTTGCACAATGGAAGTGTCCTCGAGAGCAATTAGACTTAGGTCATGGGAATCCATCTAAAGCCGGACAACAAGAATCAGTACTAATCTGGTGTACACAGTACTACTCCGGTGTACTCCAATCATATAATATGTAGGGAAGAGTAGTAATATAGATACGAAACCTCATTTCAAATCACAGCTAGATAGCACATGAATATGAATTACCTGTTTCTGCAGAAAACGTGGGAAATTAGCGACTATTATCAATTCATGAAGTCAGCACTATTCTTGTTTGGTGATGTGAACTATACGTGGTCTCCGTCATGAATTCGAAGAACACGTTTGGTGGTGGTGTGCACTCTTATAACGTGAAGCTCATTGTGTGACACAATGGCATCTCTATTGTCCTCATAGTCCTTTCGTAGGCGAAAACTGCTGTTCCCCCGATCTCAGTGATACTTCGTAACGTATTCTGTGGAGATATTCAGGACGTCCTAGTTCTGTGTATTCTAGATATCTTAATTCTCCCTACCTACGATGTCTAATGGGGTCGAATTCATGGCACATCCTTAAAGGATGGATTAACATGGAACACTTTTTAGCTTATCCGGTACATTCACATTTACAATAAAACTGTCCACCTTAAACCTAGTAATTTATTGATGTTGTGGATATTGGCTTTTTGTGCGGCGTCCAAAATAGCGGCTTCACTGACAAATCCTGGTGGCAAGCCATTGACGATATTCTCTCTAATTGATGTATCGAAAAGGGTCGGCTCTTGCGATACCAGAGCCATATGAGAACGTAGATGGGTAGGGTTTATTTCACGCAAGTCATGACCATCCATTGCCTGTAAGGAAAGAGCTAAAGTTGGGAAGCAGCTGTAATACAGATTGTAGGCATTACCAAAAGACCGTCCAGAGGATCGTAGAGTCTTTCTAAAAGTAATATTACCGTCGACTTTCCACAGCCACTAGGACCTACCAAGATAAGCGTTTCGCCAGGTTTAACCTAGAAAAACCGTAAAATGAAATGCCGGAGTCACGCTAATTACATTAATGCTAATTTGTTGATAAAGAATAAAAAGGCAAAGCTCTCTGCGTTGATCAATTTCTGGAGGATGGACCATGCATTCGGCTTCAGCATCGTTAGATGTGACTGAATGCAAATCTGGCCTATACAGTGAACTCGTGATAGCCTATCGATGTATTGAGTCAGTGCTTTTATCCTTCCAGACAGGTCTGGTACCAATTTGTCGACCCTGGAGGGATGGAAGGCTTGATGAGCCTGGGGGGCAAGATTGAAGTATTGCGAAGCACCTCTAACCACTACGCTACACCCGAATTTATCGAGTATACGGCAAATTCAATGAAGCACTGAATTGTTGTAATTTCTCAAAACCGTGTACAAATGCTGTGCTAAGGAATGTTTGAACTACTGTAGATCACTTGTAATCGGTAGCACGGTGCTTTGCGAATTTTCTTCAATTCTATCAATAAAATTTTTAGATGAATTGATAAATCTGATTCTTCAGAAAGCCATCTATATCTCGAATTCATGGTACACTTGGAGACGATGACCACGTAGGTGGAATCAATAGATAAAACCACTCGATTTCTTCTAATTCTAATTTAATAGAACCATTGGCTCGAAAAGTTCATTATTAGAAAGTATAGGTATAGTTTCTATAATGCTGAGATATTTGCAAAACTCCGGACCGCAGGTGTCTGCGGTGGGGAACGAACGCGCTATTGTCCTTTCCGGGGAGAGATTTGGGTTCCCAGATCAATCCCGCTGATGGGTGATTGCTGATGGCAAAAAGAATAGAACTAGCTGAGAGACAGGCGAAACGAAGGAGCCGCATGGTGTGGCGGTGAACGCGTTACTCCCCGGAAAGGATAATAGCGCGTTTGTTCCCCACCGCAGACACCTGCGGTCCGGAGTTTTGCAAATATCTCAGCATTATAGAAGTTATATTTCGCAACATACCCTGCCGTTAAAAAGAATAGGCAGTAAATAAAAAGTTAAGATTGTGATTATAGGTATAGTTTTGGTAACGTTCCCATTTTACCCCAAATCTTCAGATATATTCCAGTAGCGATATTTAACGAACATTTCTTGTTTAAGCCAGCACGGTGATTTTATCTCTCCTTTTTCAAATACGATGACTGGTACTTGGGCGCTTTCTTCAAAGCCACGACGAACTATGCCACTCTCTATATCACCTGCCGTCCCGTTGATTGTCGAATGAGACAAGCGGGCGCCAATAAACCTTGCCCTTCTCGTTGTTGTGTGCAAGAATAGCCAGTGGGTTCTGCTCGCTTTCGGGACCCTTTGAGCATCATAGTATTCTTCTCAGGTTTTCATGAAGAACTTTGAGAATCGGCTTGGTGGTCCTTCTGCTGTGCGTTTGACACGCTGAGGAACCCAAATGCTAACGGTTCTTCATAGATTGCCGTTCATAGGTATTACGTATCCAGCCCAAATCATCTTCGACTGTTTGGCATACAGAAAGGCATCTTCGATTTTTGATCGTTGCCTCAGGTCAGAGCATCGGATCCCATCTCTTACTTGTGTGAAACTTGATACTCCTAGCACCAACCTTTCGAGTGCGCGTTCAATAACGCTGAGTGATCCATCATGTTGCTTACGTAGCGAGCAGGTTTCTGACGCACACGTTAAGGCAGGAAGTACCGTTGATTCGAAAAGATGGGGACAACGGCTGGTATTCGTTCTCCTCACTACACCCTCGACGGTCTTGAAAGCTCCTCAAGCCGTTTTCTCCTGCTCAGCTCTGGAGTTGAGTCGTTCATCATAGTAATTTCCAGTCTTTGACAGACGTAGTTGGGCATTCAAAGATATTCTCTTGAGCGTAAGTGGCTCGTATGAAACCTATCCATTCTTCATGAACAGTGTTTTCGTGAGATTTAGAGGACGACCAATCTTTCTACTTTTCCGATTTTTTCGATTTTTCCACAGGCTTTATTAGAGCCGATAAGCATTCGCTCCGTGTGGGTGGGTGCTTGATGCTATAAGAACTATGTGGTCAGCAAAGCGAAGGTGGTGTAATTGTCGACCATCGATTGTCACTTCCGTGTTATCCCATTACAATATTCACAGGACGCCATGGAGTGTGGCAGTCAATAATTTTGGCGGAAGACATCACCTTCTCTTGCACCACTTTTTACTTCAATGTTAACATAAATACAGAATGGTGATATTTTTGGTGAGAAATCTTTACATAGCTGACGAAAAATCTTTATATAATGAGTAAAGACGCCCTGCCTGTCCAGGGCTTCCATGACTGCTTCTATCTGAATTGAGTCAAAAGCCTTCCTTAAATCGATGGAAGTGAGACAACGCTGTCTTCAGTATTCTCGCGATACTTCAAGGAGTCTTTTTATCGTATGGATTTGGTACATCGTACTGAATCCTTTTCGAAACACTACTGGCTCACATGATAGCACTTTGTCCAGTGTCCTGTCAGTACTGTTTGGGATGAGTCGAGTGAAAAGTTTTTAGACAACAGACAGCAAGCAGATTGGGCGGTAGTTGCCGATATCGTGCAGGTCACCCTTCTTGAACAATAACACGGTCTTCCTGGTCATCCACTGAGTAGGAACCTTGCATTCAGGCAGATAACGTGTGAAAACCCGAGCCAATGCGCTTACGAGAGCTGCCGGAAGGTTCTTCAGGTGTTCGGATCTTATCCTGTCTGGACCTGGTGCTGTTCGATTTTTCACCGACGATATGGCATGTTGGATTTCGGAAGGGAGAACCGATGGTACAACATATCCATCCTCCATTATTTCATATGACGGAAGGTGGACGTGGTTATCGAAGAGGTCCGAGTAGCATTCGTGAATGATTTTCTTCATTGCCTTTCTGGACGCTGTAACTGTTCCGTCTGGGCGCCGGAGTGCAATTATTTTGGTCTTCTAATTGGCGAAGCTTCGGTGGGCTTTGGGAATGCTTTTTCCAGACTCTGCAGCGTCGACCATTACTGCTGCTCTTCTCTCTTTAAGATCTTTTATCGCCTGTCTGCATTGTTTTACAAGTTCGGACGTTAGTTCGAGGTTGCCTACAGCTCGTGCGATTCCACGCCGGTGTATCAGCTCGAGTATTTCTGGAGACAAACGTCTCTTGGTGACTTTCAAACTTTCAGCTTTCATAGTGCTAACGTGAAGATGTTGAATGAGTCGATCGTATTCTCCGTCGATGTTATCGACAACGGCATCTTCCCAACAGCCGACTAATGAATGGAATAAGTCCAAGTTTTGTTTTCGAAATTGCATGTTGGATTTCGGAAGGGAGAACCGGTGGTACAACATATCCATCTTCCTTTATTTCATATGGCGGTAGGGGACGAAGCTGTTGAAGAGATCCGAGTAGTATTCGTGAATGATTGGGAGTTTGGGCGTGGGAGTGCAACCATCTTGGTTTTGTGGTTAGCGAAAGTTCGCTGTGCCCTGCGAATGCTTTTCCCAGCCTCTGCAGCTTCGAGCATAATTGCTGATCTTCTTCCATCACCTGTCTTCATTCTTCTGCAAGTTCGGCCATAAAATGGCGGTTGCCTTTAGCCCATGCTTTTCCACGCTGCTATATCAGCTTGAGTGTTTCTGAAAAGAGATCTCCCTGGAGACTTTCAAACTCTCAACTTTCATAGCGCTAACGGGAAGATGTTGAATGAGCCGATTACGTTCCTTGTCGATGTCATTAATAACGCCATCTTCCCAAGAGCCGACTATTGAATTGAATAAATTTGTTTATAGCGCTTTGTGACTCCGCTTTTTGATTTTAACAGCTTTTACTCCTTTTCTCGAGAAACTAAATGCTCTACCAAGAAGGCCATGGTCTAACCCTACAAAAACTTTTGGTAAAACAACGTCATTGATTAAGCAAAACATTCTTTTTAATATGATGTGGCCTATTTCCTTGCGGTATTCTTCATCAGAAGAGTCCCACGTCCAGCGTTGAGGGTAAGGCTTCTGGAATTGCGAGTTACCATGGATGGTCTTGGTCGTCATGATAAACTCAGAGAGCCGCTCACCCTGTTCGTTCCATTCTAATCCGTGGGTCCCAAAATGTGACGTTCTTTTTGGTCCAATTTTCGCGTTTAAATCTCCAATGATGACCTTGAAGAATAAGTGGTCTTCTCTGTATAACTTCTCCAAGTCCGTATAGAACGCTTCGACTTCTTCTTCGTCATAGCTTGTTGTCGGTTCGTAGAGGACGGAGGTTGTCAAAGCCAGTATTGATCTACATCTCTTCAACTGCAAACATCCGATTCGGGTGCCTAGTTATTCGAATGAAGCGATGTTCATGGCCAGCCCCTTGTTAACGAGAACGCCGACGCCGCCGACCCCTCTGCTGTCGCATGTTCCGAAGAACATTTCTTCTCCGGTGTCATAGACGGCGTTGAATAGTTGGCGTCTTGTCTCAGCCAGTGCGATGATATCGTACCTTATCCTTCTTGCTTGCATCATCAATTATTGCATCGAGGACTGAGGTGCAAGTGTGCGTGCATTGTAGGTACAGTTCGTCACCTTAGTTCTTTGTAATCCAGGCAGCTTCTATTGGCCATGAGATTTTAGCAGCCTCTCCGTACTCGCCCTACCCAACGCTGCGAAATTGGGGGCTCTTTCGGGGTCAGGGAAATGGGGCCCGTTGTTTTTTTTTACTGTGTTTAGCAATTTGATACCCACGTATAGCTTGCTGGGCTCTGAACGTGGGGCCGGGTGTACTCACGGGTAGCTTGCCAGGCTTTCCCAAAGTGGACATGGTGTTTATTTGTTGGACGCGACTCCTAACTGCCTCCCATATACTTTCCCGTCATTTGATTGCTTG